GTCCGTGTGTGTGTGTATGTGTGTGTGCGTGCGTGCGTGCGTGTGTGTGTGTGTGTGTGTGTGTGTTTGTGTGTGCTTGTGTGCGTGTTTTGTACATCAAGTCAAGGCCGTAAAGGACGTGAGGGAGTGGGGGCGGGGGGCAAGTAGTGTTCAGGGGTGGAGAGCAAACACGGAGAATTGGAGGGAAACAAGGAGTAAGTGGGCAGGAACAAGGGGGGAAATGGAGGGGGTGGAGGGGGTTGGGGAATCGAGACAAGGAGGGGGAAAAGCACAATGAAGACAAAAAACACTCCGAATCAACGCCATTAGCCACGGTTCGTTACCCCTAAATACGATCAGATGCCAAGGCCCCGCGGAGACTGGAGATAAAGTATTCAAGTTAACTCTCTGAGCACGCCCCTCGCACTACCTTGTTTATGCGTTGTGTAACACTTCCAAGCAACCAGCCCTGCTTTACAACAAATATTGATATGGGTAAGGGCTTATATTATATCCATGTGCTGTCTCTTTAACGCGTGAGAGCCATATCCTTTCCTTTTCAATACTGCATCCCCGGAGAAGAATATAAGACGGATTATTTGGGGATTAAATGCGTGTTGTATTAATTCAATGCGTGAATAAAAATCTGTGTAGTGTTGGCCTCCCGCTTCGGGCGTCAGTGGAGAAAGACAGGGAATCCTGGAGGAAAATCTACGACCGCTCTCTGACAGGGTTCAAGTGGGCCTTACACTCTTACAGCTCGCTTCAACTTTCTGAGAAGCTCTCGATCCGCTCGGTGAAGGAGAAATCAGTAAAGTTGCCCACAGGAGGGTTTTTGCTGTGAGGGTTTATTTTCTCTACAGTAATGAGATTTGGAACTCAAGAGTGCGTCTGCTGATCTTATTTATTACCTCTAGTCATTTGTACCATTTATTTCCCATGCTAGGTTGCGGAGCCAGAAGATCGTATGAACTGGTCCAAGGACCATTCAAGAAATACATTAGATCATGTTATGGAGGCGCGCGTTCATAATAGTATGACTGTGTGCAGTTGCGAGCGTCGTAAAATGATTACAAAACTAATATTATGGTGGCATTCACAGCTGCATCATTGACGTTTCTACGTTTCCATACCACCATGGCATTCACGAATTTGTTTTTCTGACTATGAAAACTACTTTTGAAGAAAAAAATAATGAAGTAATCAAAAGTAAAGCACAATCACTGTGAGTACCAAAAAATGTGTAACATTGAAGGCAAAAGCAAAACAGACATTTAAAAAAACACAAAAAAAAACAACAAAGGACAAACTTCCAAACACAGGTCTTTCTGGGCTATGTCCTCCTATTTCAGAAGCAAGCAACCAAGACTTTCACGAACCAAAGATTTTGACATGCTGTAACCCCGACTCCCCTTCACACCTCTCGAGGTTACCGTTTCTCCTGTCGCACAAGGACGGCTGCAATATATAGTGCAGTACCGGCAGCTAAAGATCTCAAAATTTAGCAACACTGAACGTTGGGCAATCAATCATGTCTGGCAAGACCAGCTTAAAAAAAACTTTAACGTTCCACCTTGCCTTTACTTTACATTCCTTGCGAAGTGCAGAGAGGACGCGTCACTGAGGTGAAGTGTTGCACACATGTAAAATAATATTATTAAGGCAAAATCACATTTGTTTATTTGGGACCTTTCCTGGCCCGCAACTAATGTTGGTATATTATTGTTCTTGGCATTACTATTACTGTTACTGTTTTTATTATTTAAACCATTATTATGACTACTAG